CTAATATTTTCTGAGCAAATACGAAGTAGCTATACACCCATGTCTGTTTTGTTTGAAACAATATCGCTCGGATGGTTTACGACCGGCATTTTATGTCTGTTTTATGATATCTAGTGATAAAAATGATAACCGGTAGGTGCTGTTCAAGTGGAATGAGTAAATTGTCTTGTTAGTTCTATTTTATGTTCCATCCTGCAGTTTTATAACGAGAAATTAAAACCGTAAAACTTTATGCGTTACTTTACAAAATACACTAAGAAATGTTTTATAGATAAAAAATTAGGCGAAAGTTTATTTTAAAATCTAACAAAATATACTTAATATGTAAAACGTGTTGTTTAACTTTCAGGAGCTTCGATATTTGTAGATTTTAGATTTGTAAAAATAACGTTGATGTATAAATTAAAGACTAGGGCTCCGAGATGAGAACTCTGGGCCATATATTTGTCTCTTAAATATTTGTAATATGACTTATCTAATTGAAGTAAGAACAAACCGATATAAGACTTTATTCAACAGTTTAGCAACTATAAAATAAAAACGATAAATATTACATTGACAATTAAGAGTAATAATACAGGGTATTGTAAATATACTATATTTAGATCACCACATTCTTCCTATCTTCAAGAACAATAGTTATCTTTTAAACGAAGGGGAGGTCTTTGGACTCTCTTTGAATCCATCAGCACCCGGATCAGAGGTTACTTCAACGTCAGGCGCATTCGTCGATTCCAGAGGGTTCTCAATAGAAGCGAAATCCATAGTATCATTATCAAAATTTTGTGCAGTTTCTGGTTCAACGTACTCGTAGTTCTTTTCATCTCCTCTCGGAGCTAAGTGACGATTCGATAACGTAGTTTCTCTACCATCTGGAAGGAGTATCTAAGAGTAATCCGGATTCGCTTCTAGTAGTTGGACTTTTTCTACTAACGGCTCGTATTTATTTGATGGCACATGTCTCTTCATCAAAACTGGACCCGGAGCAGATAACTAAGTTGGCAAAAATTGTCCATTGCTTGATCTTCAACTATGATGAAACAATCTTTCATGTGGGGTTTTGTTAGTAGCCGTGCACAATAAGGATCTAATTTAGTGTAGTGCATCAGGCAGAACCATATCCCACTGAGGTATTTTTAGTCCTCTATCTCGCACACTTAATTCAATCGTTTTCCAGATAGTTCCGTTTTTCCTCCCTTTTTGTCCATTACTTTGGGGGTTCTAGGCCGTTGTTCGACTAGTAGCAACACCGTTTGAGTTCAGATACTCTTTTAAATCTATAAACTTAAATGCAGAACCTCTGTCGGAGTGAATGAAACTTGGTAAACTAAATATTGAAAAAAGACTTTTTTAACTGATTTTGCTATAATATCTGGTGTTGTAGGAGCAAAGGGAAATCGACTATACTCGTCTATAACCGTCAGGAGGTATTTTTTATGGGTTGAGGATAGTAATGATCCTTTGTAATCTAAAGATAGTCTTTCAAAGGGACGCATAGCTTTGATTGGACTCTGTGTTTGAGAAATCTTAGTTTTATCTCTGAACAAGTAGGGCATATAGTGTCATCTTCCTTAAATTATCTACGGAATAAAGAAATTCTTGGATCGCACCCAGTGAGCCATTCGAGTAATGCCAGAGTGACACAAGGACTTGTGCAGATTGAAAATAGTATTAAGTTGTTGTATAGATACATTAGCAGTTATGATAGATAAGTTGTCAGCTCTTGACAGCGTATCAGCAGTCTAAACGCATTCTAAACACCACCTCAGAATTGTATCATTTTTAATTTTGCCCGCATGAGTAGTGTTAAACATAAACTTACGAAAGCTTTCTGTTCTATCACAGAATGTCTTCGTTAACTGTCAGAAAAAGTTCAAGGAAAGAAAGCAACAGGCTTGTCATCTTGGGACAGAGTAGCAGCTATAGAGAAATCGGAAGCATCCTTCTCAATAACAAATGGAATGTTGTCGTCAATAGCAGAAAGAAGTGATTTCGATATCTGTCCTTTTATATTTCCGAAGCAGGTAGCAGCCTCAACAGAAACTGGGAAAGACTTGCATTCAATAAGCATTCTTATTACATCGGAAAATTTAGGTATCCACTTAGCGTAGTGTAGAAACATTTACAGGACCGGCAAAGAGACAACACATTGGTAGGTAAGTATATTTATGGATTTTATGGAAAATTGAGATTTTTCTTCATTATTAGTTAATTTGTACTTTCTGGTAACTTCTAAAAATCTATAGATATTCAAATCATGTTCCTCCTGATTGTTACTGCATATAGTTACATCCTCTAGATATGCATATGTTCCTTGGAGATCTTTCTTTTAAATAATGGTATTAATAACGCTTTGAAATGTCGCCACTCCATTGGTAACTCCAAAGGGGATTCTTAGAAATTGATATGGAGAGCCGTTTGCTTCGAAAGCAGTATATAGTTTGCACTCCTTAAATCTATAGTGCTGAAAACAGAATATCGTGATACTTTAGATATTAAGTCTTCAATATTGGGGACCGGATAAGCATCTAGTTCAGTGAATCTATTTACTGTTTGGGCATAATTAATAACCATTTTTCTTTTTGTGATTACTATTCTTAGTGACAACAGCTTGAACAGCTCTCCAGGGGGCACTGCTTTCTTTGATTATGCCTTCTGTAAGAAGTTTCTTTACTTCAGATACAATAATGTTTAGATCTTCGTTTAAAGGTCGACAAGATTTAATAGCTATAGGGTGACAATCTGCACCAAGGTTAGTAAAGAGACGAGCTGATGGAATCACTGCTTGAGCAAGACAGCAGATTTTGAGGATTTTATTTGGTCCTCCAAAACAAATTTCAAGAGTTTTGGGATTGCTGAGAACGTCATGACCTATTATAACGTCTGCGCACAAATTCTTCATGATTTGACACTTTTGTACACACCACCTTGTATTTCTGGTGTCAATTAACAGTTTTCTTCAACATGGGGTGCAACGTCTACCATATTATTTACGATACCATTTGATGGCTTTGATGGCAGTATTTGTACTTTACATCGATTGGCAATGGAAAAATCAATAATGCTCAAACTACTTCCCGTATCGATCAGAGCTTCAAATTAACCTTAATATTAATTATAGCTTTGTTTAACCCAGAAGTTGAAGCCGTAGTTAAAATTGCCAAAGTTGTAGCTGCAGCACGAGTTTTAGTTCTGCTTTTAGTCTTACTTTTACAAACTCTTAAGAAATGGCCAGTTTTGAAACAGTTGTTACTAGTAGCATTGTTGAGGATGGGTCGGGCCTCTATAGTAGCATCTAGAAATATGTGGTTTAGATGCACTGAGCGGACAGCGTTTTATATTCGTTGATAAGTTTAAATATATTCGGAGTGACATGCTTTATGAGCATTTGAAGTTTCAGTTCTTCTTTAAGCTCAGCTTTTTGGGTACTAAGAAAGTTCTTAAACGTTTGCTTCCAGTAGATCCATTTGTCAGATGCAGAGGAATTGTTTGAATCAGTTAGGTCTCAAGTATTTCTCCAAGTCGTCCATTTAGTAAGATAAAGAAACTGTTGAATAAATTGATGAAGAATAAACCGATATAAAGCTCTTATCAACCGTTTAACAACTATAAAATATAAACGACAAATATTACATTGACAATTATGAGTAATATTACAGCGAATTGTAAATATACTATATTTAGATCACGACACCAATACTGTGTAAAAGCTGTGGATCACCTCTGTATATTTTTATTATTTCCAGTAAATAAATAGAAACGAATATATTGCTTCATTCAAATATTGTGATAAAACTTCTTATATTTCCATAAAAACTTTACAGACAACCAAAAAAGTGGTTGATAGTTAACTGTTAACTCCTTTTCGGTTTAAAAAAACTTTATTTGCATTTTATTATAATTAATTACAATTTTCAGTCCATGTATTAATGGCAGATGTTATTTCACGCCGCGCCACCGTATAATGATAACATCAATTTTGCATAATAATAGGTTTCTCCTACACTAGAAGGACTAATAGAAAACTTTTTGTACTTTTTTTAATCATCCATCATTTTAAATTTCTGTTTATTTGGTTACAGCGAAGCATACTGAGGCCGCATTATTCATTTTGGTGTGGAAAATAAGAACGACATACGTATACCAATAATTTTTTTATTTTACCTATTTTTTTTTATTTTATGACGATCTTGATAAGTGTTAACCCATTGACCTTTCCAGTTTTTTTATTTGTTTAAATTTTTTCACTTTCTTATTTAGTTAGTGTCGCACGTTTTTTTTTTTCATCTTATTTTTGCATTTTTTACTAGTTGGACCTTTTTCACCATTTGCAATTTAAGTTTTTGCATTTTTTTACTAGTTTGACCTTTTTCACCATTTGCGATTTAAGTAAAATTTTTCAATTTTATTTTTACTTTTATTTTTACTTTTATTATTACTTTTATTTTTACTTTTATTTTTACTTTTATTTTTACTTTTATTTTTACTTTTATTTTTACTTTTATTTTTACTTTTATTTTTACTTTTATTTTTACTTTTATTTTTACTTTTATTTTTACTTTTATTTTTACTTCTATTTTTACTTTTATTTTTACTTTTATTTTACCTTTATTTTTACTATAGTTCAATTTTTTATTTTTTTTATGTTCTAGCTATTTAATTTTCTTATTTTTTTATTTCTTATGTTTGTGTTCTTTTAACTCTTTTAACCGTCTTAAATCTATTTGAGTTTGTTTACTTTTTACCTGCTTTGTTTAATTTTTACTCTCAATTTTTTTTAAATTTATAGTCTCTTTAATTCAGAGAGTTTTATTTGTTACCTATTTTGTGTTTTGTTTACCTTTTATATTTGTTAGTTCCTTTTGCATTTTAACTTCGACTTGTTAAGCTTTTTGCCTTTGATTCTTTTTTTTGTTCCTCTTATTTTTTCCCTTTTTTCTCACAAACTGCAATTTATTCACATCATGTTTAGATAATTGGCTAGCTAAATAGGTACTTACTTGATGGCTTTTACCATGGATAAACCCATGTGGACAGACAACACAGCGTGATCAGGGCTTTCTTTCGGTGCTCCACTAATGCAGTAATAACAGTCCCCCAGAATTTTGATTCTAAGTTGTTGATATTTCTAAAAACAAAATATTATATTAATCCTATTACTATTTCCTTTTCAAAATTATATATTTTTTAAATAATTTAAGGTAAAGTACCAAGCAGCCTACTTAGGAATAAAGGAAAAGAAAAAAATTAAAAATTCGTGCCGCAACAGGCATTGCCTCATATCTAATGTCTAATGCTTGGTCATGAGTCTTAATATGGATTAAACTGGACCAAAAATGTTCTGCTCACTAAGAAAAAGTTAGAGTGTTAAACATTATTTTTTGTACAACTGTCAAAAAAACTTGACATTTCTGGATCTCTATTGATGCTTAAATGTTTACTTTTTTACTGCCAAAATAAACATAAAATATTACTTTTTGAAGGATTTATTTTTAATAGTCATTTCTTAATTGAGTATTCATCATAAAACAATTTTATTTATTGGAATAATAATTGACAGTAAAGTTTGAACAATTACTTCCAACATAAATTCCCTTTGCTGCTGATCAGAAACGTTAGATATTTCTTGAAGAGTTGATTCCACAATTTTATCAGTTTTAAAATTATTTCAAACGATGTAAATTCACACTGACAGTACAAAAAATATTGTTTGTATTTCGTGTTTTCATTGCACATTCGAGAGAATTAACACTCTTATGTGCCATTAAAAAAACACTCATTTTACTTACCTAATACAAAAATAACTATTCTACATCTGCTATTTTCCTTTGGATATAATGCATTTCCTATAGCGGTATTAGCCAAGGAAATAGTTGTTTTCATTTCGTTTTTTACACCTTCTAAAATATGACCTTCCTAGAACAGGATATTATTACGTTATGAAATATTTAAATCCTGCTATCAATCAGATGTCACTTTCATCCCCAAGCATTGGGCGTCCACGTTAAAACGACGCACATATTTAAATTTAGGACAATTATGTAGCTTTACAGTCAAAAACAACCCATATAATGGCTCAACTTTTTGATAAATTTGTTTTCTTTTTAGATATGTTTTATAATGCAGTTTTAGAACCTCCATTTATAATTTGACATTCGGAGTTCCAAATGTATAAATATTGTGCACTCTACCGCCTATTAGGCGTCCATCAGTGTATTAAAAACCACTGTCCCACTGGTAGAACTGCTTTAAAAGCTTTAAAATTGGGGATCGATAGATATGATTTTTAAGGCCGAGTACGAATAAAAGAAATGTCTTTAAATGTCATTACATGTCAAGAAAAATCCGGATTGTTCAAAAAGGTTCTAGAAGATAGTTTATTTGATTGGACGCCGGATTGCCAAAATGCCTTCACTGAATTGAAAAAGCGACTGACCACGGCACCCATCCTAGCCTACCCTCGAGAAAAAGGACAATTTATTTTGGACTACGATGCACCCCAACACGGCGTGTGCACCATGCTATTCCAAGAACAGGAGAAGAAAGAGAAAGTAATTGCGTATTTTAGTAACACCTTGGGAAAAGCTGAGAAGAACTATTGCCTCACTGGAAAAGAACTTTTAGCTGTTGTCAAAGCCCTTGAACACTTCCATATTTACCTTTTCAACAGTAGTTTTATCATTAGAAGTGATCATAGCGCCTTGCAGTGGCTGATGAATTTTAAAAAACATGAAATACAAGTTGCTAGATGGATAAAAAAGACTGCAACAATATAACTTCGAGGTGAAACATCGAAGAGGCCGTCTCCATAGCAATGCTGATATTCTTTCCCGGAGACAATGTTTATAACGACAATGCCGATACTGTAAAAGGCTCGAGGAACGAGAGGAGCCGGTTGAAAAAGTTAGTCTTCAGGCGACCACCATCAATCCAGAGGATCACGAAGACGGAGTTACCCTTGAAAGCCTGAGAAAGACTCAAAAGAAAGACAGGGACTTAAAGGTTCTCCGAGAATGGCTTAAAAATGGAGTCAGACCTATTTGGCAAGAGATAACCAGATATAGTGGGACTATCAAAGGATACTGGACTCAGTGGGATTCCCTTTATCTTCACGATGGCCTATTGCACCGAACATGAAAAAGCCCTGATGGAGTACATGTAGTCCCTCAAGAGGTACTGCCTAAATCACATGTCAGAAATGTGTTAAAGAAGCTTTATAGCAGCCGTTCAGAAGGAAATTTTGGTACTAAAAGGACGCTATCACGATTTCGGGAAAGTCTTTACTGGGTCAATTGCCAACGGGACATAGAAAATTGGTGTAAGAAAAGTGATTTATGAAATGCAGAAAAAGGCCCTAAACAAAAAGCAGAGGTAAAATTTCATAGTACCTTTCCGGGGAGTCTTTTATCAAAGTGGCCCGAAATAGCAAATATTCCTGATTCAGGAAGCGTCGACAGTAGCAGAAGCATTCATATCAAGCGTCATAGCGAGACATGGAGTCCCTCTGGAATTGCATTCTGACTAAGGAAGAAATTTTAAATCCAAATTAATGATAGAAATGATGAAACTGTTAGGCATCAGAGAAACACGCACTACGCCTCTCCACCCACAGTCCGACGAAATGGTAGAAAAACACCACAGAACCATATGCCAGTATCTTTTAATGTTCGTATCTGAGAACCAGAAGGACTGGGACACTTTAATTCCTCTATTTCTGCTAGCCTGCCGAAGTTCTGAACATAAATCATCGACCAGTTATACTCCGTCTATGATGATTACTGGAAAAGAGATGAAGCTTCCCCATTATCTTATTGTTAAAAGGCAGCCTCCTGGTGAACAAGAGGGCCATACACCTCTCAAGTACATACAAAACTTCGAGTTGTTGTAACAGGAGACATGGCGGGCTACGCATGGAGTTGTCAGAGGTTGTAAATGAACCAACAATAAACCAGTTAAATAAATCTTTCTTTGAATCTTTCCTTTGAAGATAATACGAGTAAAGGAAAAAGATAGAATAGTCCAGAAATGTCTCGAAATGTTGAAATAAATTAAGATACTAAAAACCTGCGTAACAATACCATTTTATTAATTGGAACAAACTAACTTTTTGAATCGATCTGTATAAAATATGCATTATTTTAATTATTTAAGTTAAGGATATTTTATATTTGAAAACAATTAAAATGTAATTTTCAGTAATTTGTGACTCACCCTGTAACTAATAATAATAATAATAATAATAATAATTTAGGAGGGGTGAATTACTCAGTGGTATAGTCTTTGCCTGCGGATCCAAGGGTCCCAGGTTCGAATCCCACCGTTGGCCGGGATTTTTTCATTTAATTTAATTATTTAAAATTTATTCTGATGCCTTGGTAGGATTCCCCATTTGACCATTCACTGTTGGGTACTACTTAACAGTGCTGTTCCTAAAGTGGCGCTGGGAAACAGTAACAAAGCCTACACAGAACACGAGGCTAATAACCGTAGCAGTTGATGCCGATGACAAAAAAAATAATAATAATAATTTAGGTTATGGCTTTTTACTGGAAACATTCTATGATATCAATTATAATGGCAAATCTATGATACCGTTATTTTTCTGTCATCTCTAGTGTCCAATCTCTGGTCGGTGTTGACGATTCTGTGTTCTGTCACACCGATAACCATTTTTGACATTTATTGTAGAAGTTTAACATTGAATTTTTGACTCGTCTACTATTAATTTAATTGATTTTTTATTCGATTCTTCAAAGCCGTCTGATAAATTATGGTAAGCTTGGATATTAATATTTTTGGTGTTTAATGTTTTTCATGTAATGATTTACACTTAAATTTATTTGTTCACATTTATTTTTTTTTATTCGTGCGCTAAATAGCTTTAATGTTTGTAAAATCGTTTTTTTATAGTTGAAATTTTTTCTCATTCTCCTATTTTCATTTCCTCACTTTATGGTTCGATAACTATTTTTAACTTTGCAGTTTCAAGACTAATTTTGCATTGCGTAAAGATTTATTTTCTTGGACGTTAAATAAATGGTTTTGACGCTGGATTTGATAACCAGACCTACGTGATGTGACCTACTGACCGGAGTTAGTTACCTGATTGTTGAAGAGATATATGAAAATTGATTCTTTTGCGAGGCAGGCGAATTAGTTTAAATAAAGTTGAAAAAATACTGGTTTTATTTCCAATATTTTTTTGATATAGGTGTCCTGTATGGATAAGTCGCTGGTGTGAGGAAAATTTGGTCTTTTTTATATAAATAACTTGTGAGTTATAGTAGAAAACGAAGTGTTTTTATTGATCACACATGAGGTACAAAGAATGTCGAAAATAGAACTTCTTAACTAATACGTACACAATTAATTTGATCGTTGCCAATTTGAATTTATGAAGAGAATTAATATCTCGTTCCGAAAGCTTGTATATTTCTTTTATGACTGACTGGTTGTATTGGTTTATTTTTTTTTTGGTTTATTATTGATTTTTTCATAAGTGTTTTACATTTTTCTAGGACATTTTATTTTCCTATTTCCCTGCTATAGGAGTTATCCTCCTTCTCAGTATGGTCTACCCTGATTACAAAAGTAAGCTAGCTAACTATTCCCTAATGTGTCCTGTGCGCGTGTGGGACCTGTGCGGTATGATTGGAAAGGGTTTATCTAATGCTTAGGGGGGCTAATTTCAGCTTATCCTGGAGTTCAGCGGTGAGGTGGAGGTCTTGGGAGTCTGAGAGAAGTCTCAGATTAGGTTGTGGCATTTTTCTTTTCGATTTTCGAAAACGTGGAAGTTGGTTTGGGCGCCATGGGGTTCGTAGAGTGTCTTGTGGGTGTGTGTTGGTGCCTTTTAGCGTGCGAAAGACGTATTGTTTCCAGAGGGTTTGGAAACGTGTGAAGATGGGGAAGATATTTTCGAAAACTTCTCCGCTGGGGGAGCGAGAGGGGAGATATTGGCAACGTCTGAGTATACGTCTCTTGAGTGTAGTGAATTTGTGGGACAAGTGTGTGGGAAGTACGCCGTAGGGTACAGCTCTGTATTAAGCAATGGGTCGGATGAAGGAATTGTAAGTGTGAATAAGGTTGTGTGTGTTGCAACGCCCCATTCGTCCGCACAGAGCCCCAAGGAGACTGGCTCGTTTTCGCATCTTATCAAGATAGCGTTGGACATCCGAGGACCAGTTAAGTGTACGAGAAAATCGTACCCACAAATAGTTAACTTCAGTCTGTTGAGCGAGCCTGATTCCCCCCAGTAGATTTACATTTACGAGTTGAGGGTTCTGGGAGGTTCTTTGAAAATTTAAAGACGAAAATTTAAAGACGATAAATTGTGTTTTCTGCGGATTTAATGAGACCCTCCATTTGCTACACCAGTGAGAGTACTGGTTTAACAGATTTTGGGTTCGAGTATCTAGTTGGTTAAAATTTTTGGCTACCGAGATAAGAGCTGTATCGTCGGCGTATAGGAGGCATTTGGATGTAGGGTGGTTTGGGGGAGAATGTCGTAAGTGTAGATGAGGTAGAGGAGAGGGGCCAGAACGGAGCCCTGTGGAACACCCGCGAGTGGGGTGAATGTGTCTGATAGGGAGTTGTCCACTTTGACGGGGATTTTTCTGTCTGTAAGGTAGGAGTGTATGAGTTTGGAGATTTGGGGGGAGACCTATGTTCATAAGCTTTTTGACTAGTCCGGCATGCCAGACTTGGTCAAAGGCTTTTTAAACCTCTAAGAGAACGGCTGAAGAGATTTGTTGAGAGTTTACTGCAGTGACCGCAGTAGTGTGAAGGGAGGAGATTGCGTCCTGTGTGGAGTGGTGGGGTCTGAAACCATGTTGGGATTGTGGGATGATGTTTCTTTCTTCACAAAATTCCCAGAGTCTTTCCTTGAGCAGAAACTCGAAGAGTTTTCCTAGGACTGATATGAGAGAGATGGGTCTGTATGAATTTATGGATTTGGGGTCTTTGCCTGGTTTGGGAACCAAAATGGTGTTTGCGGATTTCCAGGCAAGTGGAAAATAGGATAGGGAGAAAGGCAAAAGTTTAGGATAAGGGTGAGGATGAGAAAGATGGTTTCAGGAAGATGCTTCAGCGTTCTTATGTGAATGAAATCAGGCCTGGAGGCCGTGTTTTTGCCTGCTTGGCAAGTATATTGGATATCTTGGAATGTGAATGGGGAGGTGAGGGGGTTTTCGACCTCCATAGGTGGGACTGGGGCGGCGAGTGTCTGAAGGACATATTGTTCGGTCTTATGTTTGAATTGTTCGTCAAAGTGGGGGTTGTCGGGGGTTCTGAAGGTGGCTTCAAGGTGGATTTTGTGAGCTTAGGCTTTTTCGTTGTGGGTTGAGTGGATTTGTCCGTCGATTTGAAGGTGGGAGTGAGATTTGGTTTTTAGACCCGTGATGATTCGGAATTTGTCTCAAAACTTGGAACCGTCTCTATGATCCAAATTAGAAGTGGTATTGATCCATAGTTGCTGTTTGTGTTAGTTGGTTTGGAGCCTGATCCGGGCGTTAAGGCAGTTCCATTAAGTTTTGATGACTGGGTCGTGGGTACGGACATATTGTCTATACAATCGTCGTTTTTGAGAGATGAGAGTTAGGATGAATTGAGGGAGGGCTTTTTGTGCCGTGTTTATGGAAGTGATTGGGGTGGATGTTTCGACGGCGTGGGTGATGGTGGTTTGGACTTCGTCAACCATTGAGTCGATGTCTTGCGGAAAATTGAGCGGGCGTTGCTCCGGAATGTTTGCAGAGATAGTTCTCTGAAATAGTGACCAATCTACTTTTTTGAGAATTCGGAAGGTATGTATTGTAGCTCTTGGTGGAATGGGTGCAAGGAGAGATGTATGTAACATCAAAGGAAGATGATCGGAGGTAATTGTTTTTCCAATGAAGCATCTATCAGCAACCAGTCCTGTACAGGAATCTGTCAAGAGGATGTGGTCTATGATAGATGATCTTTGGTGGGATGCAAAGGTCGGAAGTCGATTTGAGGCTCTGAATAGACGATCTATCTTTATATTATCTGGGGCTGAGTTGAGTGTCTGGTGCATAGTTGACGCACTAGATATGTTGTACCGTAGTGGGAGGTGGTTCTGGCGAATGAGGTGCTGCATGATATAATAAATACGTCACTTGGGGTGCGTTACCAATGAACCGGACACTCAAAGGTCCCTTTTTTAAGAATTTGCTTAATAAAAAGAGAGAGTGAAAGTGGAAGAGAGTTAATTGCGCTGAGAGAGATAGACTATAAAAACGTGTTTGTCAAGTACACTGATGGTTGGAAATGTTTGAGCAAAACTGGGCCGTATTTGCACATGCAGGAGGTTATTTGCCGTTATTTTAAAAAGTTATTTGTGATTTATGACTTAACATTAAGGTTAAAAGAAAAAGAAAATATTTGATAATTATCTAGTTTAATAAAGGTAGAAGTGAAATATTAATTTATTGATATTTTTCTGGTAAATTTAGAGAATTTAACCAAAAGTCATATGATTTGAGATAAGTTTTTATTTTATTTCTTGTAGCAATAATAAATACACAAATTTTAAAAGTAATTTTGTTATATGAAACTCTAGTAAATTAGGATTTGTTCTTTAACATTACTGTTTTAAACTCTGAATAAATGCTTTGAATGTGGTGAATCCCTAATTACTGAGTTATTTTAATCCTAATATCAAACCTACAACCCTACAACATTACACAGTAATGGATTATTCTAAAAAATATCCGTAGGGGCCAATTTCGCGGAAGCCCATTTCTGCATAAGCCGACTGCCTGGTACTTTAAACATTAATTTTACTTACCTCTGCTAACTTGTCGAATCTAGCGAATAGCTCGTTGAGCATTTTCACCAATTCTTGAGCTGAATAAGTCGAAGATATGGCCGTAAAACCGACGATGTCAGCGTACAAAATGCTAAAATAGAAATTTGTTTGTTTTGAATTAATTTTACGAACGATGAAACGATAAATATAAATATTATTATCACCCGCAGTCTGAAAATGTTCATTTACTTAAGAGAGAATGGATAAAGAAAAATAATCCCGAACACAAAACGGGAATATCCCATTTATTTATTCGAAAAATAAAAAGAAAACAAGTGGATATAAAATATTTGTCTCGGAATTGAAAACGAGGATATTAAAATTTGCAATTCAAAACGAGTTGGTTCTAAATATATTACCTGACATTTTCGTGCCTACTCATGTAGATCTTCTTAAATTGGCTGTCAGTCGAATCCAGGTCTTGCCTCATTTGAACAGCCACGTGTTCTGGCAGAACGGAGAGCAGCAACCGTTCCTGAAAATGACAATTAACAAATTGAAAAAGTTTGTAGAACGATAAAAAGAGGGAATACAAAAAAATTGTTTTTGGGGGCAACTGAAAGGCTTCCAAATAACCCATACTTAATGAATTTTCCGCCCTTTATAACCGAGATCATTTTATCAATTTTATCCATTATATTCTTGGCTCATGACCTACCAATCACTCTGTATATATTTTTAATATTTAACAGTCGTATGCTCCATAATATATTAAATCTACTAACGAATAAATAAGAAACTGAATCCAAGTTCGTCTTTATTAAAAATTAATAAAATCGCCCATCCTTAAAACAACACAATATAATTTGTTTTTTTTTTCAAATTTCCAACTTTCAAAAGAAGTGAATGCTAGGCTAAACACAGCAAATAAAAAGCGGGATTTGTTGCAGAAAATCTTGGGAAAATCTTTTAACCTAATGAATCAGATTGTGACGAAGTCACTAATTTCATTTTTATTTAATTCAAATTATTTATTTAAAATGTATATTTCAATTAATTCCCGCCTGAGGACATGTAGAAGGTCCCCCGTATTTCTTTTCCCAGGAATTACCGTTTTTAATAATTGAGAGTACCCTCATAGATTTAAATATTCCTATATTTGCCGAAATTCGAATGGGCATTTTGTAGAGTCGATTTCGTACCAATTATCTACCTTTATTTGTCAAGGTACTAGAAGGACATTTTTTTATTTTTAAATTGTAAACAGTCGGCTGTAGTAGTGGTATCCCCTACTTAGGTTTACAGAAAAGCATAAATTCAATGACATCTGGGAATTACACTCTTGATTGCCGATAGCCGACAGCCGAAAACTATTCGCCCTTCTATAGTGCCTAGTAAATACTCCGTGACTGCCGTGATTTCGAAAAAGATTATTGAATAACCCCGTTTATCTTCTAAGGTAGGAACCGTATATTATGTTTTTTATATTGACTTTTATATAATTAGTTGGGACACCTGTGCGACAAGTGAAAAACTTTGATTCATATCCAGGATATTTCATTTCATCCCTCAGTGAGAAACCGTTGGCAATTTTTATTTGAGGCTGGATATAGGCTAGACTCTAAGTGCTCTCCTTGTCAACGACTATATCCAATTTCTCTTAAAAACCGCCCAGTTAACATCGAAGTGAGAAGTTCAACATGTTCTCAATTTTTTTTATTATTTTGTTTTATTTTCTTTTTCGGAGGTTCGATCCGTTCCCAGATTAGAGTGCTCTCTCTCCTGATGACGTTATTTAATTTCCCAAAAAGACGTTTTAATAAGTGTTGTTAATTGCTGCAAAATTTCAGATGCAGATATGGATTCCATCATGGTTTATTTTATATTTTTGCATGAGCTGCCTGACTATGGATTTTGGGAGAACGTGTCATCAATTTTCAAATTTTTTTTAGATTTTAATTATCTCACTAAGTTATCTGTTATATGTGTTACTTACTGCTTTCTTAAGAGATTGGTGAATTTAAAACATTTTTATTTCACTTTTAACTACACTATACTTTATTTGAAAGTAAAACTCATATTAAAAATAAAAAAATAATAGAAAAGTTAACATAAAAATTAAATTGAAAAAATTTAGGACAACTCCCATAATTAAAAACTAAATTACTTCAAAGTAAATGCTCAAAGTGTTCCATTAACTTCCATACACGAATATAAATTATTCTCAAATCTTTGTCTGACGTTTTGGAGCATTTCTGGAGTTATTTGACAATATTCGGTAATAATACGTTCACGTAACTCTTCTAAGAAACCTGGCTGAGTGGAGTATATTTTAATTTTCAGATATCACCATAAAAAGTAATCTAAGGGGGGACAGATCAGGAGATCGTGGGGGCCATTCAATAAATCCTCTTCGTCCAATCCAATGTCTAGGAAAGTTTTCATTTAAGTACTGACGAACCGCTGCAGCAAAATGTGGAGGAGCCCCGTCCTGTTGAAATATTAGGTGATCTTCAAGGTATCGGTTATCGTTTTCTATTGTCTGTTAACAGTGGATCAACGGTGTTTTCGAGTAATTCCAAATATATATCCCCAGTTAAAGTACCTGGTAAAAATAATAGACCAATAATACGATCGCCAAATATTCCAGCCCAAACGTTTAACTTTTCTGGGTGTTGAGTATGCGTTTCATGAAATACTCTTGGATTGGAATCTGACCAATATCGACAATTATGTCGATTGACAGTCCCGTTAACATAAAAACTGCGTTCATCTGAAAAACAAATGTTATAAAGAAAATGTGGATCTTGTATAGCATGCTCGCTCATGATTTCACAAAATTGCAAGCGGCGATCAAAATCGTCTTCGTTAAGTTCTTGAACTAAATGCATTTTATAGGGATGGAATTTGTTGGCATTCAAAATTCTCCTGACATTACGGTCACTTACTCCAGATAATTCTGCAAGCTTTCTTGTACTAAGAGTTGGATCTGCAACAACTTGTCCTAAAACGGCTATTTCTACGGCTTCGTTTCTTACTGGATTTTGAATCTGCCATTTTCTATTTTGAACAGATCCTGTTTGTCGAAATTTTGAAATAAGTTCCAAAACGTACTTACGTTTAACCTGTTTGTTTGGGTGTCGCTCATTAAAAATTGTACAGGCAGTATTAGCACATTCGTTATTTTTTAAATAACATTCAACAATTTCTACTGTCTCCTGAATAGAATAAACCATTTTTATGTTTTACCCGCTAATAGACTTGAAGTATCAATGACGCTAAACCAAAAACAGAACTGGTAGTTATGGAAATAATAACCTATATTTTTATTTTACGAAAACATAGGCGTAGTAAGTTCAATTTTATTCCAAAGGTAATTATGCATTAAATTTTTAAATTTGGCTTTCACATGACAATACGCTTATTTGAACTGTCACATGTCACATAGTCAAATTCCTTATAAAATTACCTTTTCAATGATGTGTCACACTTAGTACTTTCCCTATTTCAATTTCATTGGTAATAGTGACAGAGGGGTGGGGAGGGATGTAGAATAGTTGAGGATATGATCGAAAGATGCCCCCTTTGAAATAAAAATCGACCTCTTTTTGCATTTTCTCAAAAAAAAATGTGTCTTCAATATATGCGATCTGTTTCGTTTTCGGTGCCTCACCCTGTATTGTGGATATTCCCTGGTATATTCGGAATAGAGATTTATATCGAAACCTTAAGGCAGAGACCTATTATAACTCACGTACTCAAACGAGTACACATTGCAAATTCATTTAGTGCTGTTATATAAGTTTAAATATACAGAAGTATCGCAATATACGAGTATGTTTCTTTTATAAATTAGAAGATGTCGCCACCTACTGTACATTCTACCCAGTATTGTGATGAATTTTGGCATATATGCATAATGTTTCCATGAGATTTTCTGCAGATATGCCAAATATTTGTTGAAACTATGTATGTTTGAAATTAAGTTTTTGGATTACATACAATTTAATGTGAGTAATACAAGTATGATAATGAATTTTACTGTTTTACATATAAAATGGGAGGGGGTAAAAAATGTTTCTATACTTATTTGAGTACAATAGGTATTAATATAATAATAATAATAATAATAACTTTATTGGCACAAAATTTACGTATAATAACAACATAAAACAATAAATATATTGGCAAATATATTATTAGACAGAAAATATAATATAATAATAACAATATTAGTAATTCTGTTGGGTTCTAATTAACAATGCCATTCCTAAAGTGGCACTGGGAAGGGTAGCAAACTCTACCCAGAACACGAGGCTAATAACCTAAGTAGTTAATGCCGATGACACCAAATTAAAAAATATTAATAACAATAAAAACACTAACAATAGTAAGTTGTTCATGTAATTTAATTATTTAAAATTAATTCTAATGCCTTGGTAGGATTTTCCACTCGACCATTCACTGTTGGGTTTTAATTAACAGTACTGTTCCTAAAGTAACGCTGGGAAACAGTGACAAAGCCTACACCGAACACGAGGCGAAATAACTATAGTAATTGAAGCCGATAAACAAGATATATAACATAGGTACCAAAAAAAAAAAATAAAACAGTAAAAAACATAATTAAAAACAATAAATTCGTTTTTAGTTTAATTGAACATTGTTAACAAATTTTTTCGCTGACTATAAGGAAGATACTTTTTTAACTCCACGTAATGAGAATAAACTATGTATATATTAAATAGTGTGGGTCCTAACACGATTTCTTGAGGTACTCCACCGTCAATCACTTTTTCATTGCTCAGTACATACATCATCTACTCTTACTGGTATTAAATAACTTTTAAATAAATGCAGAGTATAGCCTTTTATACCAATATCTTCTAGAGATTGCAAGAGTAAATGATGACTGACAGTGTCAAAAGCTTTTGACAAATTTATAAATATACATAGCAATGGCCTACCCTCATTTAAAGCTTCAGTAATTTTTGATGTTAAAGTATCGCATCTTCCATGGAGATGTTTTCCCTTAATCCAAACTGATGACTTAAAAGTAAGTAAGATGTAAGTAAGCCTCTTTTGTATAATTTTCACAAAAATTTGTGAAAGATGACTGAGAAGTGATAATGGACGGTAGTTTGTATTTTCGGTTATTTCTCCTTTCTTAAATACTAGTATGACAATTGATTTTTTAAAAGCAGAGGGGTATACATCAAGATCTACATATTTGTAAAAGTAACGTTGATCTATGATGCATGTTTTCAGTACAATAGAAATTAAGAGGAAACCGGACACACACAAAACTGCGATTACTTCTAGATTTGTTATTTTTTATTCGATATTTATGAAAATTCAGATAGCAATTCGGAAGTAATAATTGTTTCCGTGACAGTCCTTGATTTTTTTGTAAACCTTCGAAACGTATTTTTTTTTAACTATTTAATCGACTTTTGGGAAAAATGTTTTCTCCTCAAAACTGTACTAAACCTGCAATATTTTGCCGATTTTGTTTTTTTTTTATATATCAAGTGT